AGGAATAGCTAGAACTCACATGACTAATACAGCCAGGGTAGAGGCATAATTGCTCTGATCATAGTCAGAATCAGAACCAAGCATTGCTCTGATCATTCCTTTTTTGTATTTGGTCCAAAGTCCTTTGGAAAATAAAGGCAGAGGAGCTGGTCATGCAGTATCTGTTTAAAAAAAATTAATGGAGATTACCTATCTCCTAAAGCTGAAAGGGACCTTGAAGGTCATTGAGTCCAGTACCCTGCCTTCACAGCAGGACCAAGTACTATCCCTGACAAACTTTTGCCCCAAATCCCTAAACAGCCTCCACAAGGATTAAACTCACAATCCTAGGTTTAGCAGGCAAATGCTCAAACCACTGAGCTATCCCTCCCTCTGTGTGCTCTGGCACACAGTCTAACGAGCTCTGTAAGGCATCCCGGGAGTAAGATACTTTGCTGATGACAGTCTGACAGGTGGGACAACTCACAAGGACCTTGACAAATCCAGGAGAAGAACCTCACTCTAAATGGAACAAAATATCAGTTCTATAAATCCTCTTTCATGGTTTTTGCTATATTTTTTCAGCAACTGGCATAGCACCTGATCCGTATTTGATAGTTGCCATCAAAAGCTTCACAGTACCACAGGGTACGCAGCCTCCAGCAAATGGTTAGCTATTGTGTACAGTTCATTTCGAACTCCACAATAGTGGCCTTGAAGCGAAGGCATACACCGGAGAAGTTCAGACTTGAAAAGCAATACTGTCTAATGTCCTTAGACAGATTGTTGCTTCCTTATCTGCTTTGACAAGCGACCGTGTAATATCTGACTTTCCAGGAACTTGATGGTGGCATCAGCAGACTAGCATACAGTGATTCAGTGACAAACATTGCCAGCATAATTGCAGTTTCTAGGAGAACTCTGACACCAATGGAACAATGGAGAAGGAAGCTCTCATTGAGACTTGGAGCTACAGTCCCCTTTTAGATGTGTGGAATATAATGATCACAGAACACAAACCTCTGGGACAAATATTTAACCATTCAAAATCTTAAGCTGTTCAGTAGATGAGTTTTTCAGCTCCAAACATATACATTCCATGTGATCCATAACCATACAAGTTACAACACTTTAGTCCATGTATCTTGCCTCCTTGAATGTCCACTGAGGATTTTGACATTATTGATGGTAGTGTGCACTAGAGCACCACACATGCAGTATCAAAAGCAATGACACTGTTTGAGCCTCAACTTGCAACAAGAAGAATCTTTGTATTCAACCCATCTTCCTTATACTTCATACAGGAGCATGAAATAACCTAACAACTACCAAGAAACTTCCAAATAGAGTGCGAAATCTTAAAATCATTCCCTAACAGCAAGATCTGACTATGGTTTTTAATAACAATTACCGTACCTATTTATATCTTTTGTAAAGTGCTTTGAGATGTAAAGATGAAAAGCAGTATGTAAGAACTAGGCATTATTATTATTACTGCAAGGTACCAGCTGGGTGATTCTAACATTGCCCCAACTAAGAGCATTGGCCTTTGACTTTAGAGGCCACCGATATCACTGCTGCTTCATGAAGAAGTCTAATTTACAGTTTTTGCACGCAGACTGAGTTCTATTTTCCATGTCAAACATCAATTCCTACTACCAGCCTCTTCAGTGTCAAATTTGCTCAAAGGGGCCTGGCAGAAAAATCTCTCGATTTCTTTTAACCCTTTTCTCTTCCCCATTCCATGACTGTTTCCTGGCTCTTCTGGAATATTCAGGCTTCCTATGGTAGAGCTCACCTCATGAACCTCAGCACATGTCTACAAGCTAGAGTCAATGAGAATTCCAAGGCATGTGTATCCCCAGGATCTATCAATCTTTCGGTTTACTGCAGCTGAGTCTCACCTGTATCACAGAGGATACTACAGAAAATGCTTACAGTATATTAGAGAGATTCTTCCCTTTCTTCTTGAAGCTGGGCCTCATCCCTTCATACCCCCTCACAGGTTTCTCCAGAGAGTTGAATGGCTGGCATTACAGATGGCTTGTGGTTGCAATGTTAGATAGTTTGTTACCATGTAGGAAATCAGCTTTTCTATAAGGTTCTACATGTCCTTGGTTAACTTGTTTATTGGTGTAGAAAGAACAGATATAATTAAAAATCCTGTTTCAGACTCTCAGAGGTCACTTTAAAGGTTACTTGGTGTAATCTCAGTCATTGGTGAGTATGCATCAGATTTGCCATTGCTCATTGACTTAATTTGGATTTGTGGACATTTTGCATGTCTTGAAATTCATGTTCTGAGTGTTTCACATTGTTTGGAAAATATTCTACACCTGTCCAGAACTACTGTTCCCATTCCCAATTCAAGGTTATGCAGGATTTCAATCAACTGTTCAAACGACTATATTACCAGCACTTCAGATTGATAACCTCATTACGCGTCCTCTGACTATCCTCTAATTCGGCTAGACCCCCCCAGGACCATTATTTGATGTGCTGAAATACCACTGAGCCTACTTTCCTACCATACTGGGTATCCCCCAGTCTTGCTGAGCCAGGTCCGCTGGCTTCCTCCAACATTGACACGGAGATAGAATCAAAGCCTTTTTTTGGTATAATACAGACACTGAGATCATATCAGCTCTGGGAAGGCTCAGCCAAAGGGGCTTGTCACAGCACCCAAACTCAGTCTCAATGGGACCTAGAACCCAGATAAATCTGTCTTACTGTGTGTCAGGTCTTATATAAGGTAAGCTTGTTTTCAGGGCAACAATAGCTACACAGATTCCTCAGGTAACAATTACTTACATTGAGTTTATTAATAAACAAAAGTGATTTATTAAATATAAAAGGTAGGATTTAAGCATTGATAAGGGACAGCAGAACAATGTAGGTTACTAAACAAAATGAAACAAAACATGCAGGCTAAGCTTATACACTAAGAAATTTGTTATATATTATATCTTACCTTCAGAGTTATTCTGAAACTTTTTTCACAGACTGAAAAGCTTCCCAGCCTTGGCTCAGTCTTTCCCCCCTGTTCAGTATTAGAATTTCCACACAGCTATCTTGGGTAGTAAAAAGGAGGGTCCTGATGACAGGCAGCAGCTCCTATTGTTTGGCTTCTCATCTTTATATATGTATTTTGCCCAAGGTGGGACTTCTTTGTGTTAAGTTTAAACATTTTCTCACAGTACAGTACCATGGTAGGTCTCAACATAGGTGATATGGCCATATGTCTTAGTAAGACCAATCTTAACCCCTCCTCCCAGGCTTACAGGAAAAAATTTTTTTTCGCAGATCACTGTCCTGACTATTGAGCCATTAAGTTCCTTGAGCACTATTAATGGCATTCATTTAGCATGACTGTGTTAGCAACACAGGTTTATACTTCATATTTCCAACTTCAAATATAGGAATGATACCATGCATACAAATGGGAAAATCATATTCAGTAGATTGGAACTTTTCCAGTGATATATTACATGAGGTATTTTGCATAAAGCATATTCCAGTGATGTCATATTCATATTCAGAAACATATTTTACTATAGCATATGGAATGCCCTGTGACAGGTGTATGAACTAGCAGCTGTTGCTTCATTCCCTTTCTCACCTTCTTTCTCAACAAGATCACCCTGAGAAGTATTTCCAGTTTTAGACCCATGTTAGATTTAGAGTTCCATGGTGATTCAGAAATTGATCTCCTGTGGTTTGCTCCTAGTCTCAAACCCCTAAATAGAAGGTTAGACGCAGTCCCTGAATGGGATAAAGAAAGTAAAATGTTAGCTTCCTAAACCTGAAAAGTCTAGATTTTTGGATTTTTTTAAGAAGCCTAAGAAGGGAAAAGGGCCTTTTGTGCATTAGCTGTTTGGATCGATGCATACCATATTGAAGTATGAAAGTTGGCTCAAGATAACAGGTTCTCAAAGTTCAGGCCGCAGTCTGATAAAGGGGCTTTGGTTTCTGAGCCAGAGAATGATTCTCTTAAGAGTTTTCAAGCAGCCATCTGCAGCTCATTACCTACCTTGCTGGAGCACTACAGAGTAGCTTTTGGCAATTTCTCAGACACGGTCGATAGCTAGTATGACCTGGAGTCTGTGTCTATGGCCAAACATGTTGACTTCAGCTAGCAATCATGGGCTTACTCTAGGGCTTAAGAACAGTACTATGTTGTAGAGCCCTTTATTCCCAGTCAGGAAACTGGAAGCCTGAAAGAATAATTTCATTCTTGTAAATGATATTTCTGTGAGAATCTCCAGATGTCTATCAGACTCCACCTAGTATCACTGTAATGACCAGTTTTCAGTTGTTTGTATATATTTCTTATTATTTACAAGTTGTTATGAGTTCATCCCTGGAGTATTTGTGGTGTGTTAACCCTGAGAGGAATAAAACTTCAACAGTGGAAATGTCTCCTTACCTGTGTGAGAAATAGGAACAGCCCTTTCGTTCTGGACCTTGAAAGTCTCTTGAAAAAACGGTTTATAAATGTGACAAGTAATGCCTTCCTGGGTTATGAGGCTGCTCCTGTTTGTTGCCTAATTGAATATTCTTAGTGACTGGATCTTTGTGTGTTCTGCCTATTGCTCCTCATCCTAGTATCAGAGAGGAGAAGGTAGCAAGATTGTATTGATCTTTTCCAGAAGGCAGATTAGGATAGAAGGCATGCCAACATCAGATTCCCTCAATGGACTTTAATGTTAATTTATTATGCATCTTTATTTATCAGTATAAAGAGAGAGGATTAAAATTTAAAACTTTCTTTTATATTTCCCATCAGTATTTATATTTAAAATATGTACATTCTGTTCTTGATCCTCTAATTGAGATTTATGACACCTGTGTACATAGGAATTACAGAATTAGAAGTGGCAGCATATATTGAAATTTTATTGGAGTACTGCAGATATTTTAGCTAAGATATTTGGGGAAAAAAATCTGTTTTAGAAAACAGTCTGTCAAGCCATGTTGGTGTTGGAATAATTTTGTGACTCTCTTGTTGCTGTTTTCTCCAGGAGACTGAATAACAATGAATTCACAGTATTAGAGGCTACTGGGATCTTTAAAAAGCTTCCTCAGCTGCGTAAAATGTAAGTTTATCTTCACTGACCTCTGTTCAAATGGTATATTAGTTCACTGGTGTAATTTTCTATAAACTTTATTAGTTCACATTTGAGAGATTTAGTGTATTCCATTCCAAAATCAAGAGGTGGACGGCAGCATAGGTTTGGCCTAATATTGAAGTTAAATCAGAGTTTTCTGTGGAGCTAGACAGAAACAGTTGCAACTTCTCATGCTGTACAGCTTTGGCACCTTTAGTTTAGTGTTCAGCCAGTTGGTCTGTTGTTCAGCCAGAGCAGAGATCTAGCAATCTAAGCAGTTCCAGCAATCTTTAGTAACTTCCTCTATTACTCCCTAACCATGCTGTTCTGCTTCTTTCAGCACATTCAGGACATGCCTTTGAACTTTTTGCTTCATCAAACTACCATTAGGGGAAAAAATATCAAAACTAAATTATTGGAAATATGGCTTGATAGCTCATCCATGTAAATTAATGCCCACAATTCATATTCCAAGAGAAATTTAGACATTCAACAGTTTCATAAGTCATTTCAGAAGCCAATATAATCTCCCCACACACACTGGAAGAGTCATTTTTTTAAACTTAGTGAAATACAGAAATACTTGTCAGAGAGGAAAGAGAACATGTCACTTTCTTGTAACTATGTTTACTTCAGTCTTTTATTAATGTTTCTTCAAACTACAGACATAAGCACAGAGGATAGGGAATACAATTCTAGCAAATCCATGAAAAATTATGCATTATTCACTATGTATACAAAGAGAGCAATAAAATGAGTATTCTATGTGAAGCTGAAAAGGGCCCTATGTTAGCAATGGCTAAAATTATCACTATTGAGGGTGGTTCAACTTATGTGAAATGAGTTGATATACATAGTCCAGTTCCTACTGGGAGGGTCTCCACAGATGCACACACCCATGAAAACCTGTGTTACACAGTACACATCAGTATTCTTGTAGAAGATTCAGAAAGACCAAAGATCAAATGCCATGTCCAGTCTAACTACTCGCTCACATCTACTTTGTCACTCAGCGTCACAGTTGAGTCATGTTTACATTGCAGTTGAAGATGTAATTGCAGCTTTAATCCAGCAAGCTTGAGTCCCAATATCAGCAAAGCTGCAAGAACATGGACTTTGTATTCAGTCTGCTGAGTGGACTTGTACAGCCCTGTTGAAGTCAGTGCTGTTGTGGCTTCATGCTATTGGCTTTGAGAAGGGAGTTGGATTAGATGACCTACTAAGGTCCTATCCAACCCTAGGCTGTGTCTAGACTACAGGGTTTTTTTAAAAAAAAGTAGCCTTTTTAAGAAAAGTAAGAAAGTAAATCGAAAGAACGCGGCAGTTTTTTCGATCGTGGTAAACCTCATTTTACGAGGAATAATGTCTTTTTTTGAAAGTACTCTGTTGAAAAAAGGCGCTATTGAATGCAAACTGTGCCTTTTCAAAAGAGAGTGTCTAGACTCGCTTTCGAAAAGGTGGCTCACTTTTTCAAAAAATCTGCTTGTAGTCTAGATGCTCTTTTTCGAAAGAGGCTTGTAGTCTAGACGTAGCTGTAGAGTGGAACCCACTTGCATCTGACGAAGTTTGTCCCAGCACACGAAAGTTTATGTCCAAATACATTTATTAGTCTTTAAGGTGCCACAGGGCTCTTCGTTGCTGTTGCTTTGAAACAGACTGACAAGGCAACCCCCTGAAACTTAGCTTAGGTTGGCTATCTAATTTAAAGCAGAGTAGCTTTGTTTAGGATCATAAAGAAGAAGCAAGAGTAAAGAGAAAAATTCAGTATAAAATCAGCATTGCTATTAACACTGCTCCATAAGTTTCTAATACAGACACTCTGTGAACATCAGTCATGGAATGCTCCCTTTACCTCTGTTAGTTGCTAGTGTTTTCTCTGAGCATCTTTCCACTATATATCTTTCTTTACTATATCCATTACCTTATGGATATAGTTTTCAGTCCTCTTCCTTTGCAGAAAGTAAAATGCAGCCAGAACTCAACTTCTGCTCATCTCTCAGGCTTCTGGGGCCAGAGCATAGCACCTTTCTTTGCCACTCAGGTCCTAGCCAGGAACAGATGTGCTCAGCCCCTGCAGCTGTTTCTTTGATTGTCTGCTTCTATGCACTCTCTCTAGTCAGGCCTAGAATGATCCTCATTCACCACTCCTTTCTGGGGGAGGGGAGGGTAGTAGGACCATGACGCCTCCAGAAGGTGGTCTCAGAGGGCCTGGTACACCCATCACAGCCATACGGCATAAACTTATCAAACCAAAGAGCCTGTTTGTTTATCCATTAGTGTCCATGTAATAAGCACTTTTTATATTCACGTTATAAAAGAGTATGAAGAAGAAAAATAGATGAAAATTAGCACCTTAACATCAGAAGGCCACAGTTCAAGTTGATACTAGTTCAGAGTATGAGAGAACCCATGGAAATAAAACATGATGCCATCTACCCCCATTATGTAGATATCATGGATGTATACTTGTTTGTTATGATACCCCAGTTATAAAAGATCAATGCTTGTGTCTATTCCATCTGGAATTCTGGATTTCCATAATTAAGCTTAATAATTAATACTAATCGGTCAAGTCAATCCATTCTCAATTATTTCCTAACAATAACTATAGTAAGCCTGACAACCCAATTATGTATTTTCACCTACTTGTCCCCTTGCCTGTTTTAAACTAATGAGTAACATATCAAGATCAGCCATATACCTGATAATATCATTATTATTTCAAACAGTGGATCAGGAGAAGCAGGGGAAAGGTCATAGATTAGCACATTGGAGGACTAGGGTCTAAGTATTTAATCAAGTTGATGCTCTGTCAATATTAGTAACTGTATATATGAGATAGCACTTTGACTCACTGATGAACTGTGCAAATGTTAAATATTCCTTGCATGATATATACATATTACAGTAATATTTCCACTTTCCATATGAAGAAAGTCAGATGAAACTAAGGAGATTATGGGCCATACATCAAATCTGCGGAGAATCATGGATTATGGAAAAATAGTTTTAGGTTTCCAGACATGAGCTTTAATCACATGGACCAAATCATATTCTTCATCAAGGGCAAAGTATATTTAAACTAATATTATGCAAGAATTGACTTGACAAAATTCAACTGAAAGCAACAATTTAGGTTTTACCTTTGTCAGATACTGCTACAGATTTTAGCTATAATGAATAATATATTTTCTCTTAAACTGAATAAATAGACCGATGTTTCAAAAAAACCATCAAATTATCTTTTTTCTTCCAAATATCAAATAGCAAAAAAAAGAAATAAGACTTTAGAATAATTTAATATGTTGTTTTGATTATATAGTTGCTTTATAAAAACATTACTTATAACATCACACTGCATATTAATACATATTTGATGTTTAACTAAAATTTAAGTTAAGTATAAATATTGTTACTTGAAGAGAGCAAAATAAAATATTACATAAGTATCACTAAAATCTTTAAAGCTATATGTAAATATTGAAATCAGATACTTTGTAGCAGATACAAAGTCACTGCTAAAAAAATTTAAGAAACAAGTGGTCCTGTAGCACCTGAGGGTACATTTGCACTATGGAACAAGGTCGAATTAAGATACGCAACTTCAGCTACGTTAATTTTGTGGCTCAAGTCAAAGTAGCTTAACTTGACTTTTCGCATTGTCCACACTACCCAAAGCAAGACTACTGGCAAGGACCAAAGTGTCTCTCTCAGTTCAAATTAGCATGTTTTAAGTAGATCTGCTAATTCAAACCCTGGAAGATCAACAGCAGCAGCTTCTCTGTAGTGTAGACATACCCTGTAGTGTAGATATATCCTTAGGGCTCATCTAGACTACAGGGAACGGTCGAAAGAAGATATGCATAGTCCACGGGAATTTGCGTATCTTCTTCAGATCGCACTTTTGAAAGCTCTGCTTTCGAAAGTGAAAGTAATTAAAAAGAGTAACTTAAAAAGAATACTTGCGCAAGAGGGCTTATCCCTGAGCGGGAACGTCGGAGTATTTGCACAAGAACCACTGATTTTTGTACGGTACAAAGTCAGTGTTCTAGTGCAAATACTCGCAGCCAGTGTAGACAGGTGGCAAGATTTTGCGCAAAAGAAGCTGCTTTTGTGCAAAAGCTTGCCAGTCTAGACACAGCCTATCAGTCTTCTAGGGTTTGAATTAGCGGGTCTAGTTAAAACACCTAATTCAAACTGAGTGGGGTGTTCCAGTCGGTGCTGGCAGTCCTGATTTCATGAAGAGTAAGGGAAGTCAAAGGGAGAGTATTTTCCCTTCAGTTTCCTGCAGTGTAGACACTGCCAAAAGCTGAATTAAGCTACTTTGACTTCAGCTATGCAATTAATGTAGCAAAGTTGAGCATCTTAGTTTGACTTTGTCCCATAGTGTAGACATACCCTTAGGTACTACAGGACCACTCATTGTTTTTTAAGTTTTTTTTTTAAGTTACAGACTAACAGAGCTACCCCTCTGAGACTTTAAAAGTCACTGCTACTCATTTTAAGTCCAGTTTCAACACTATTGCAAACAATGATGCAAAAATTTTTTCAGATTTTCTTCCCATATTTTAGAAATGTTCTGCACAAGAGGTAGAGCCAAAAGCATACCTCTTGTTGGTTTAAAAATTCATCACCCTTTTTAGTGGCAGTATAAATCATTAATATTTCATTTACTTGTCATCATTTATGCTACTTAATTAATTTTTGTATCTCTCTCATCTTAGAAACTGAAACTAAATTAGTTAATTTAAGTTATGTTTTTCAGGCACTAGCATTACACTGTTGATTGGATTCAAAACACCGCAATCAATGAACGCTTTAAAATACTGTATTAGTATCTTTTGAAATTTTTATGAAAACATTTTCTTATATTGTGTAGGCACTGATAGAAAATCTGATATTCTTTCAATGGGCATTATGTACCAAACTTCCTTTGAAAATCCCAATCAGTATTGTTATGATTCTATTGAAATTTGCTTTGCAGTACTAAAATATGGTTATATGGTTATTTTTACTCTTTGATTTATTTTCTAGTCTTGCATAGTAACATCTTATAGTTATTTAAAGCTTTCTGTTATAGCCTGCTGTTTCTTCAACTGTTAATTAGCCTACAATATTAAAAATATTTTTTCTCTAATTCTTTTTTTGGGGAATGTAAAATAGAAATCTGAGCAATAACAAGATCACAGATATTGAAGAAGGAGCATTCGAAGGAGCATCTGGTGTGAATGAACTGTTGCTCACCAGTAACCGTTTGGAGGCTATTCGACACAAGATGTTTAAAGGATTAGAAAGTCTCAAAACTTTGTAAGTCTACCCAAGTGGGTGTTTTTCTTCCCCTTGTGTGCCAGATCTCTACTCAACATAAATTCCTACTTTTTTTGTAACCTTCATTTTGAAGAAAAAACTATGGCACACAGAAGCATGTCCTAGCTCTTATTTTCATTTTACACCAAGCATTTCCATTCATAGTGTGAATTCATTGACTTTGGGCCTGGCCTAGTTGAAATTCATTTGTGTGGCTTCTTGTTCACAGAAACTGTATATGCAGCTGCTGAGGCTGCTCCTGATTCTGTGAGTGGATGAAAATATATCCCTTATAGCCATGGAATTGTGCATTCTGCACTGCCACATCTTTAGTATAGAAGTTTGATTTTGTCCAGGTTAATTGTTGTTGGGAATTACACCAAAGGAAGGGGAAAGATTCATTATTATGCCCTTACCTCAATCTCTCTACATTCTGGATTACTCCTCAACTCTCTTTGGGGCTTCTCTTGCACACTAAACTTTCTAATCAACAGATCCACCTTTAGTGGTCTGGGCTCTGTAGCAGAGAAAGATGCAGATATTTTTTTATTATATCGCACCTAATATTTTAAGCTTTATTTAATTTTAGGTTTATTTTTATTTCAAACTTTTGATATTGTGACTTGCTGTTATTGTGAATCTAAGTAGGAAAATAATTCTAGGGTTTATTGACAAACAAGCACAAAACCAGCAATGCCTGAAACTGCATTGATCCTATAATATTTTTGAGAGAAATATTTCTTTCCCAAGGTTATTTTTCTTTTTAATATTCTAAACTTTCTACTAATTTTTAGACAGAAGTGCCCAGACTTTTCTGCTTGTACCCCCTCTTCACCAGTAATAAATTGTGTCTATCTGCACCTCAGAGTTCTGGGATCACTATATTAGAAACACATTGGTTTCTGTAGTTGAGATTTGTTGAGCATGTTAAGAGTGCTTTAATATAGGTGCAGGGACTGTGTATGCTTGGGCTGGGACTGCAGCCTCTGGTTTGAAATGGTTTAATCATATCCTGGATTTAGAATTTGGTTCAGTGGCTCTCAACACCCCCGCTATATAAATTGTTCCAGCATTCCTATTTACAATATGTTAATGAACAAAAGTATGGACTGTGAAATGTCACCAGAATATATAAAAATTGTAACAAATAATCATGTCAATATTTAGATTGTAAAAGTAGTTGTATTATAGCAAAAAGAGCTATCACAGTTCCTAACCAGTATCTTCACATGAGCTGTAACATTATTGAAATATTCACATAGCTAAAACACTAACATTTTAGTGAGTTTTCATTACAATAAATAGTGTTCAAAATATGCCTTGCTTTAGTTTTTCTATTGTTCTGTAATAAACTCAAAAAGTAATAGCAAAATATTTTTAAGGACATCAGAAGCAGGGCTAAACAACCAGTAGGGCCTTTGGACGATTGAGATGCTAAAGGAGCACTCAAAGATGATAAAGTCATTTCAGAGAAGCTGAATGAATTCTTTCCTTAAGTCTTTATGCCTGAGGATATTGGGGAAGATTGCCAAACCTGAGTCATTCTTTTTAGGTGACAAATTTGAAGAATTGTCCCAAACTGAGGTGTCATTAGAGGAGGTTTTGGAACAAAATGATAAATTTAACAGTAACAAATCACCGGGACCAGATGGCATTCACCCATGGCATTCACCCAAGAGTTCTGAAAGAACTCAAATGGGAAATTATGGAACTATTAACTGTGGTTTATAACTTATCCTTTAAATCACCTTCTGTACCTAATGACTGGAAGATAGCTAACATAGCCAATATTTAAAAAGTGCTCTAGAGGTGATCCTGACAATTGCAGACCAATAAGTCTAATGTCAGTACCAGGCAAATTAGTTGAAACTATAGTAAAGAATAAAATTGTCGCATAGATGAACATATTTTTGTTGTGGGAAAGTCAACATGGTTTCTGTAAAAAGAAATCATACTTTACTAATCTGCAGGAATTATTTGAGGGAGTCAACAAACATGTGGACAAGGGGGATCCAGTAGATATGGCATACTTAGATTTCCAGAAAGGCCCCTCACCAAAGGCTCTTCAGTAAAGTAAGTTATCATGGGATTAGAGGGAAGGTCTTTCATGGATGGATAATTGATTAAAAGACAAGAAACAAAAGGCAGGAATAAATGGTCAGTTTTCAGAATGGAGAGAAGTAACTAGTCCTCCAAGAATCCATACTGGAACCAATCTTATTCAGTCTATTTATAAATGATATGCAGAAAGGGGTAAACAGTGAGATGGCAAAATCTGTAGATGATACCAAACTGCTCAAGATAGTTAAGACCAAAGCAGACTGTGAATAGCTTCAAAAAGATCTCACCAAACTAAGTGATTAGGCAACAAAATAGCAAATGAAATTTAATGCTTAATAAATGTACAGTAAAGCACATTGGAAAAAATAATCCCAACTATACGTACATTATGATGGGGCTAATTTAGCTACAACTACTCAAGAGAGAGATCTTGGAGTCATTGTGTATAGGTCTCTGAAAACATCCACTCTGTGTGCAGCAGCAGTCAAAAAAACAAATAGAATGTTGGGAATCATTAAAAAGGGGATAGGTCTACCATAACCATTTTATCTAAACATCTTTCTACAGTTTATTACGCTTACTTACCATTTACTAAATTTCATCATATAATGCATTTAATGTATGAAGGTTTTCTTAAACATTAACCATGCTGATATTCAATATAGTTAAACATTTCAGAAAATAGAGAGAGAGTGTGAGTGTGTATGGTAGATCTTCTTTAAAGTAATAAACGTTAATCCTTTCTTTTTCAGGATGCTAAGGAGCAATCGTATAAGCTGTATAGGCAATGATAGTTTCACAGGATTGAGTTCTGTCCGTTTGCTCTCCTTATATGATAACCAAATTACTACAGTTGCTCCAGGTGCCTTTGATACTCTCCATTCACTCTCTACATTGTAAGTTATGTTATATTTTTAGCTTTTCCAGGACTTGAAGCCACTCACTAGTTTATAACATTTGTATTTGTTCTTGCATTGTATGTTAAGATTCCACTAAAGAAAAATGCAACAGAATATCAGAAAGTCTCTGTCCTGGGCCATTTTGAAGTACAATGCCTGTATTCACATACAAATGTTAATTCAGGCAAAGTATTTTAACACTTACTGACAGTGTTCCTTGATATTGACATTGATATCTTTAATGTCTCAGAACTGCATTATTTAATATTTTTCATGAATGACCTTGGTACAAAAAGTAGAAGTGTGTTAATGAAATTTGCCTGTGACAGAAGTTTAGAGGCATTGCCAATACAAAGGAGGAGCAAAATATCATAAAGAAAGAATTTGATGTCCTAGAGAAATTAATAACAAGAATTTCTGCTATAAACTGTAGGTTAATCAGTTGGAAACGAGAGTGAGAGAGAGAAAGCTCTAGGTGAATTAGTCAGGCTCAGGAAGATGATAAGCCAAAGTGATGTGTCTGTTTAAAAAATAAGTAGCAGCAAATGTGATCCTTATATGTATTTCAAGTAGAGTTAGGGAAGTATTAATGCCATTGCACAAGGCACAGTAAGATCTCACCTTGACTACTAGGTACAGTTCTGGTCATCCATATTTCAAGAAAGATTAATTCAGCCTGGAATAGATGCAGATAAGGGCTATTAGGATGATTAGGGCAATGGAGGACCTCTTGTATGAGTAGAGATTAAAAGAATTTGCCGTGTTTAGGCTGGCAAAACAAAGCCTACATGAGAAGATATGATTGCTTGCTGTAAATACTTGGAGGGTAGAGGGGGTAAACACTAGGGGAAAAAGCATATAAACTGACATAAGCAAATAGAGACTGAGGATTATAAGATGGTTTTTAACCATGAGAGGAGTGACGTTCTGGAGCAGTCTTCTAAAAGTAGAGGGGGCAAGCTAATTAGTTTTAGGACTGAGCTTCATAGATTTTTGGATGAGATTATGACAGGATTTCCTGTGATAGCAAGGGACTATACTCATTTCCTCAGAAGGTCCCTTTCAGGTCTGTGCTCCTTTATTTATGCTAGGTTTTTAGAAAATATTCGCCATGACTGCCAAAAATAGGGAAGCTTCCAGTAGTTGAAGCCCAAGGTGACTGGTCTCCTGTAGTCACTGGCATTCTGACAGTTTCCATTTTTTTTTTAAACTGAAGTTCATAGATAGGCTAAAGCTTACCTTGAAACTTAACTTACTCTTGCTGTATGATGGAGCACTAAAACACAGTCCCATTTTCTATAAAAAGAAACGGCTGTGCTAGAAGTAATACATTTGAAAGGGTTGTCTGCCTTCACATCTTTTCTTTATGTAGCGGGAAGAAAAGAAGAAGGGGAAAGAGAAGAAAAAAAGTGCCTGTTTAACAAAGTCAGTTTACCAAAGAAGTAATTACTGTGGGAAGCAGCACTCAGTAAAGTATTTAATCCTCTTTCCACATAAAATGAGACACTTTACACCTAGTGACTAATTTGTGCATATTAAAGATGGCATGTTTCTAAATAATGGAATTGTCAATAGGCTTGTGGTGAAGTGAGAAGATGCCAAAAGTACTCAGACTTGTAGAAGTAAATTCATTTTTATAACTGGCATGTAATCAACTTAGCTGTCAGTTTAGATGAGAAACTTATTCTCTGGAGCAAATATAAGATGGAAATCTTGAGATGACAAATTAATGAAATAGCTGTTATCAGGTTAAAGCTTAATAGTATAAAGTAATCAGCCTTCATCTCTATATTAAGTTACTGCTTTATCAGTGCAGGGTAGTTTGACAGCAAGTCAGATATTTGACAGGTTTAAATTATTTCTAAATGAGCTATATCAAGATTCACTGCACAAATCCTAAATTGCTGCTCTCAACTTTGGTTTGCATATGGAATTGTTTGAATAATTTCATTTAGAGTTAACTTTATGGAAATACACATTAAACTTTCTAAAATGAAAACAAAGTTACATCATTGAAACTAAATTATGTATTATTTGCATATGGTTCTCAGAAACCTCCTGGCCAATCCTTTCAACTGTAACTGCCACCTGGCGTGGCTGGGAGATTGGCTGAGGAAGAAACGCATTGTAACTGGAAACCCTCGCTGTCAGAAACCTTACTTCCTAAAGGAGATTCCCATCCAAGATGTGGCAATTCAAGATTTTACTTGTGATGATGGTAAGAAATACACTCTGGATCTGTCAGAGCAATATAGTTCTGCACCTCTCATACATTTAACATGCCATAGATCAAGTGGCCCATATTACAGGCATCTTTTTTATCATTTCATACACTTTGATCCCAATTTAACTCCTGAATAATCATGTCTATTCAAGAAGTAGAACGCACCCAAATGTAGATGATTAAAAGGCATGCAACAGGTCATATACATCTGTCAACAAGCCTTTTGAAAATAACAGTTTAGTACTGCAAATTGGTATTTTGAGGTAGAAATTTTGAGATGGAGATTATTGAACTGACAACAGCAGTACAAATGAAAATGGTTTGAACACTGACACTTGAATTCAATACTTTCTTTCAAGCTAAAAATTCAAATAGTATATTCTTGCTCAGTCAATGTATTATTGATTTATTTTATATTTCTCTGCAAATATTTGGATACTCGTCTCTGACATCCCAGTCCTCGTAATTCCAAGTTTAATGGTATGTTTGCTGATACTCAAATGTATAACTTTCCCTAAAAATAATAAGCTGCTTTTATTTACTTGAAATTACTGTATTTTTTAGAAATCACTGCATATATTACTTTACTACACTATGCTCAGGAATTACTTTCATCAGGCTTTTTCTAAAGAATATGACTGTTAGAGTGCATTTAGACAGCATTCTTCTGTCGGAATGAACTACGCAATTTGCACTTTGCAAATTGCGTAGCTTATTCCGAGTCTAGGTCAAAATAAGGCACTCTTCCGACAAATCCCTTAACTGAGGATTACAGGGATGCCAGAATAGTGGTCATGTTTAAAGATGTGGCATTGCTATTTCAGGATACTTCCGGTATTCTGAAATAGCACCTCAGTCTAGACGTACCCTTGAATATTAAAACAGCGTTGTATTTAATAACTCCATTTCAAATTATATCATTTAACGGCAATCTCTTAGGGCACGTCTACACAGCAGGGATAAAGCCGAAATAAGCTACACAACTTGAGCTACGTCAATTGAATAGCTTAAGTCGAAATAGCTTATTTTAGCTTTTGGCGCTGTCTACACAGCATGAAGTCTGAGGTAGAGCACTCTTCCTCCGACTTCCCTTGTTCCTCGTAAAATGAGGGTTACAGGAGTCAGAGTAAGAAGTCCTCCATCTCAATATTATTATGACATTATGTCAAAATAACCCCTTGTAGTGTAGACATGGATTGTGTTATTTTGGAATAATGGCTGTGTAGACGGACCCTGTATGATTTCCATCCATAGAGCTACTGCAGTACAGAACCTTCATGTCTGTAAAGTGAAATTAAATATGTTTAGTTCCTGCCAGTTCATAAATGCTCTCTGCAGAGCAAAGCTTTATTTATCTGTTTCCTTTCACTACTCAGGAAATGATGACAACAGTTGCTCCCCATTGTCTCGCTGTCCTGCAGAATGCACTTGCCTAGATACTGTCGTTCGCTGCAGCAACAAAGGCCTTAAGGTTTTGCCCAAAGGCATCCCAAAAGATGTAACTGAACTGTAAGTAGCACAAGTTCTTCCTTTTCTTAAATGCCAAGTTCAAAGTCATATTGGCTGATTCAAGAATGAGGCAGCGTAAGTATGCAAAATGAAGAATTGATATTAACCAATCAGCTGTAGTTTGAGACTTTATTACTTTTTAGAAACTGACCTGTAAATCAACCAAGAAATTTTTATCAAAGAAATTTAATATCAAACATTCTGTTTATAATGGTAAGAGGGTTCATATAATTAAGAATTATTCTAGCATTTCTAGAAATTCTTGTATTCCTATGGTTAGTTAATTTTTTTCTTAATATAATAATTTGATATCTGTATATGTGTATTTAGGATATATTTTCTTGCTTATAGAGAAAATACCACATCGAATTTTCATTGTCGAACATAAAAGAAATGCAGAGAGTAAATAACATAAATAGCATCAGGACAATTAGCTATTTAAAATTATTATAATTTTAATAGTCTAGGGAATGTTTAGTGACATATTTAAGGAAAAGGGTAATGTTTAAATTTTCTCTCAGTTCTCCAGTGGAAGTTTGTTTATTTTAATAAAAATGTTGTGAATTTGGAAAAAATAATACAGATTCAACCTCTCTAATCTGGTACTCTCTGGTCTGGCAACATCCATGGTCTGGTGTGATTTCAATTAGCTGGATATCCACTTATCATGGAGGGGGGATAACGTAAGCAAAAACAGTCTACACTGCCCATCCGCCTCAGCTGGAGTTAGGTGTTGCATGGCTAGAGGTGGGGGGAAGGTTGTGAAGGAGCATGGTCTCAGGGAAAGTGTTGTGGCTTTGGGTAAAATGGGCGAGGCTTCAGCTGCCTTCCTCAGCTGGGCCTTCACCCACTGCCCATATTTATCATGGATGTAGCCATGTTTTCTTGCAGTCCCATAGAGTTTGTTTACAGCCACCAAGTCCTGGCTCTCAGTATTCTGTGTTGTTTAGCTCTAATTTACCCTAAATGTCTTCTAAGTGCCTAGTAAGCAGTGTAAGTGTTGATAATGCTGCTAGACAACACTGACCTCCCATGGTTCGGCTAATTCTTTGGATTGGCACCAGTCAAGTCCCAAGGGTGCCAGACTAGAGCAGGTCAACCTGTAAAGATTGAGTAGGAGTAGGTAGAGAGCCTAATTCAAACTACCTACTCTGTGCTGCGTGTAGCTGCGGGCACGGAGTCTGCACTAAGGGGGATTTAAAAATGGCGGCGCCCGGCAAGATGCAAATATTTAAATCCCGGGCTTCATTTGCAACTTCGAATGCCTACATTAGCCACCCTAGTTCGAACTAGGGTGACAGTGTAGACATACCCTTAGATCCTCAAGGCACTGGTCATTCTATTCCTAGATATAATTTAGTAGTGCAGATTGTTTTTTCATGTAGCCAGCTACTGAAATGCTCTATGTATATGCACTATAAAGATTTTGGGATAACACAAATTTTACACTAAAAAGAATGTAAAAGTTCAGAAACAAGTTTAGAAAATGGGTTGTGACATCTTTGAAACTTCATCTTACATATTTTAAAAATTAAAGAAACATCTGGAAAATTCAAGAATAATAAATACCTTTTAATATTTCATCATCTTCTATCATTACAAAGAGTGTCAGTTAATAATTAAACACACAGGAAGGCTTTGAGGTATTGTCCATCCACTCTGTTTAATATTACAATTCATTAATGTAAGTATTTTCTTTGAAAGGCAGCTTAAGTGTGCACTTCAACACTTTTATACCGTCCTTGTCTTACAACTGCAATTATTCAGAAGGTTTTAAAACATCAATCACTTGTTTCATGGTAAAAACAGAATACCACAAAAACTACATTTGTCATTCCCAAACACAAGCTAGTGAGAATTATTTTTGGCAGGCTAGTGAAGAAAAGGATAATCTTTGTGATCAATTTTTTTAAGTACCTTAATTAAACCATTGCTGCCTAACACATACATTTGACCTAAAATCAGGAACAATGACTTATTCAATTGTACATAAGATTTGTTTTCAGAAGTATTCCAGGAACATCTAGTGTGACTAGGGATATCAACATGTAGTTGAGTTCACAATTACCCAATAAGCCCACACACATTCCCCCTCCCTTGCTGCCTCTGCATCAGGCAGAGAGGGAGACAGGAGAGAGTGCCCATGAAGATCCGGCTTTTAAGCCAGCCCAATATCAGTTACTTGCTACCACCAAGCTTCTCTCTGATAAATTTTATTTTGGGCAGTCCCTCCTTGTGCTCTCCTTACTGGGAACAGGATTCTCCTGGTAAGTACAGCAGATGTTCTTTGGAGAAAAGTACAGAAACTCCTATTCATCACAGCTACACTCCAGACTAAATAAACAAACTTGTAATTTATTATTTACAATTACAGTAAACTTCCTATAATCCGGCACCTTTAGGACCTAGGGGGTGCCAGATTATCTGATATGCTGGACTATCAGAAGGGGGGGGCTATGAGCTGTCTAGGGTGGAGTGGGGGGGATGCTACCCCAGACCCCTCATAGCCCCCCCTTCCGATAGTCTGGCTCTGCCCTAGGCAACTCCGATTCAGCTGCTGTTGAAACTGACCAGCGGCTGACTCCAGGAAGCCCGGGGAAGAGCAGCTCTGCCTTGGACTTCCTGGAGTCAGCCGCTGATCAGTATCAGCAGCGGCTGAATCGGGGACAGCTGGGGTGCTGCCAGGTTGGTCCCGCAGCCCCAAGGGGCAGTGCTATTGGACCTACCCGGCAGCACCCCAGCTGCTCTGCCCCCTGCTTCCCGGATTCAGCGCTGGTCAGTTTTAGCAGCGGCTGAATCGGGGGTGGTCCGGCTGCCCGGAGTACTTCCGGGTTCCTGATGGTGCCGGACCATCAGATGCCGGACCATCGGAGTTTTACTGTAAAACCTTTGAATGAACTTTGTAAGTGCTGCCTATTGTTCTTTTGAAGCCAAGGAAAATCTTCTGGCTCTTTTTTAATATACTTTTTTAATATCCCAGCAGACCAGACCTATGCAGCCCTGATGGATTAGTCTCTGGAATCACCTTTCTTAGCAGCTTCAGCCAGCACAACCAAAATTAGCTTCAGCTAGAAAGTCTCCATTCTCCCTCCTCCCTTGGTCCTTTCCCACTGCTGATATTCAAACCAATATTCTGGGATGGCTCCCAGCAACCCAATGAGCTCTGAGACACTGAGTTTCAAAATGCTAGTTCACTTCCACCAACATATCTTACCTCCTCGTACTTACCATCACCTAACATATTCCTTAAAGTTCTCCACCGTCCCAAACAACCCAAAATGAAAATTCCAACATTTTATCATCTCTAATCCTCAGGAAAATAATAAAAAATGTGTAACTGTATTAGGGATGTGAAAGTTTACCGGTGTACGTGATTAACCGATGAGGCAGAGCTCATTGGTTAACCTTCACGGTTACACACAAGCTCCTGATATGCACATGAAGCCAGCTTAAAAACCAGCTCCCCGTGCACTCTGTCCCCCGAGGAGTTGCCTGCCTCCCACCCCTGTACTGTTACCTCTCTATCTGCATCAGAGGCAGCAGCCTGGGGCGGGGGCAGGTGGGAGCCACCTCCATGTGTAATTGCTGAAATTTTCAATAGTTACATGTTTATTTAGTTAAACCCATTTTAACATACTTAAATTGTATAGCCTTCAATTTTAAACAAGTTAAAATACAGGAGCTGCTCAATTATTATTTGAAAGAAATTAAAATTTTAAAAAATAAACCAAAATTTATTTAGCTAAATATGGATAAATATCCATTTGGGCATATATTCATTTTCATGTCTGTGTAACATATGAGATGCTGAATCACAGTCACTGTCAAAAGGAACAATTTAGACCCTTTAAGTATAGGCAGCAGGGACATTTACAGGCAGTCCCCGACTTACGCAGATCCGACTTATGTCGGATGCGCACTTACGAACGGGGCTTTCTTGCCCCGGAGTGCGCAGGCAGCGGTCCCGCCACCTCGACCTCCGGGGTGAGAAAAGCTGTTCCCGGTGCCCCTGGTCTGCTGGGGACCGTCTCCAGCAGACCAGGGGCACCGGGAGCAAAGCCGCAGCCGCGGCAGGGTCCCGCGCCTCTGAGGCTTTGCCAGGAGCGAGGAGCGGCACTAGTGGAGCAACCCAGCAGCACCCCAGCTGCTCTGCCCCAGGCGTCCCCAAGTCAGCCACTGCTGAAACTGACCAGCGCTGACTACAGGAAGCCCGAGGCAGATTTGCTCTGCCCCGGGCTTCCTGGAATCAGCCGCTGATCAGTTTCAGCAGCAGCTGACTTGGGGACGCTTGGGGTTCTTAAGTTGCATCTGTATGTAAGTAAGAACTGGCGGTCAGTTTCAGCAGCGGCTGAATCTGGACGCCAGTTCCGACTTACATACAGATTCAACTTAAGAACAAACCTACAGTCCCTATCTTGTACGTAACCCAGGGACTGCCTGTATATCCACAGTCATCAGAGCTATGTGAACCTGGGCCCAGCCACCAACCAACCCATGTGGCGACTCTCCAAGTCACAGGTGCATGTCCTACAGCACTCTTGACTTCTGTCGTAAGTCAGCTAAGGCTATTTGAAGCACTCCTCTATTTCCATTCTTTATTTTTTGGAGAGTGTTTTCCCCTTGTGGTATTTGATTCATCTTCACTAGCCGTGGTGTTCACTGCTGCTGAGAGCATTTAGAATGGTCCCATCGCTTATGTATCTATCAAATCTGGTACTCCAGTCCGTCATGGTATTCCTATGATTGTAGGTATGACATAATAGGCTTACTATTAGAGGTGGGGCAAAAAGCAGCTATCTGAGAGAACTCATTCACCATTTTTGTCCAACATAATAATGTAGCTGTACCCACTATGAAGGACCAGATTGAACTAATAATATAGCTTTTAGCTGTCAAGTTCAGTTTCTATTTACAGTAGCATAACATCCAGTAAACTGTTAGAATTGCTTGTATAAGCCTAATGTAATCTTGACTTCCTAAGAGCATATTGGGCATATACAAGTTGATTGTGCCATCTATCCTTAGCCATCATGTCATCCTGCTGTTGAAGAAGGTAAAACTGTCACCAGTTGCAGTAGTAAAACTGAAACTTTGTGTAGTCGCATGTATTTTTAAAGCATCTATCTGAACCTTATTTATTGCTTTAATACTAACTATTTTCTTGCTGGAAGTATTGATCTTTTAATTAGGTGAATAATAGTTCATTATTTTATTTTTCTGTTGTAGTTATTTGGATGGAAACCAGTTTACCCTTGTTCCCAAAGAACTTTCTAACTACAAACATTTAACTCTTATGTAAGTAACCTTAAAGTATCATTTTGTGTGAGATTGATCAAAAAGCTGCTCTTCCATTTAATGAAACAGTTACAAGAAAAACATAAAATGTAACCAACCTTTTAACAAATATAGCCCAAAGGCACATTTTATAAATTGGATCTTTTTAGTCCAGTGATCACAACACATTTTATTGCAAAGTAAATAGGCAAGAATTATAGTAAACCTGCAAAGAAATGCAACATCTCACTAATGTTCAGTAGAATATGATAGCTTCAGTGCGTTTTACATAAACATACAGTTCTAGCTTCAATAAAGGCATGAAATTATTTGTTACAGAAAAAATTGTCATTTGTTTCACAAATATAATGCTACATTTCTACAATTGAGTAGCCTGCCACAATTAAGTCAGGACACTTCATTATTATTTCTAGCTCTGCTGCTGACTTGCTGCGTGGTTTTGAACTAATCGCAAAGCTCTTTATGCTTCAGTTGATGCCTTTATAAAACAGGTGTGTGGGGCGGTAGCTGTGTACTTCTGAAAGGAGTGGGGCACCCTCACAGCCCCCTGGGCCTTTGGAATTGTTGGGCCCCAGGGCAGTTGATCCTTTCCTCCACCACCACCTTTGGTGGGCCTAGAAATAATACTGCTTTCTCTGTGAGATATGTAGGCAGATCTTCAGCTGAATTGTCACAAATTCAGTGACTTCAGTGAATCAGCTGGAGTTGAACTCTGTAAAGTTTTGAAATACCTACTGGCATTAGGAGCAGCCACAAATTAAAAATTAGGCAACAAATCAGTGTAACATTCTAAAAATGCACCAGCTCCTTTTCGATGCCTTATTCTAGATTAAATGATACATTTATTTTCTATATGTAAAGAATGGCTCTCATTTTTACAGAATTTCTGAATAGTATGAGCAGTTGCACAGTTCTCAAATATGTACAGTCTAGGTCTGCATGGAGTGTTTGTGGATTCGTGCTGCAAGAGGTGCAGGAGACCTACTTTGCAGTATGTCAACCTATATAGAGCATGCATGTAGGTTACTGTTTGCTGTAGTGATAAACACTCCTGCATCATATTGGCCCACAAGAAGCATGTCTGAAGGTAGGATTCTTTGGAGTAGCGATGCTCAACGCATTGCCATGTATTTTAATGTTGAAGGCTCATAAAACAAATGCAAATTACAATATCAGTTGTAGTATAATTATTCAGTCAGGCTGACATTTCAATAAATAATTTTGGAAGCGTGCAAATGCAAAACAAACTGCAAAATTGTTCAGTCAACAATAAGGTATATTATTAAGTTAATATTCTGAAATTCTGGGTGAATATTGCAAAAGTAACAAGCCATGTATTACATTTTTGGACAAACTGTTCATATTGAGAGATTATCTGTAAATTCCTATCTTTTCTTGTATACGTTAAAAAGGATCCAGGTGATTGAGGCATTCTTGTTTCATAAACCTTTTTTATGTATATTTTTAACCTTCGTGGCAGGAAATGGATGATTTTGTCAACTTACCATGAAAACCCCCAGGTCAATCATCATTCCAGTAGCATTGTGATTTACAACGTATATTGCCATTGGTTCCTGAGTTAGAATTCCACTATAACATTAAACAATAAGGGTATGTCTAGACAACATGCCTCTGCCGACAAAGACTACCCGACATAGTCAATGAAGCGGGGATTTAAATATCCCCCGCTTCATTAAAATAAAAATGGCCACTGCGTTGTGCCAGCTCAGCTGATCGTCGGCACAGCGCGGGAGTCAAGATGCTGATCGGTCGACAAGGAATGCCAGAGCCACTCAAACTGCGGCTATGCCTTTTAAATGTAATAAGAGCTGCTGGGGCTGGCCATTGCGAACAGGGATTGCTTGGTGGCAATGCTTCTCAGCAGTGCCCCGCCCTGGGGAGGGGGGAGGGAGGGGCAAAAGGCAGCCAGGAGACAGTGCTGAGGGACACTGGCTTTTAAGCCGGCTCCCCTCAGGACTGATTCCTGTCCCCCCACTTGCTGCACACCACAGAGAGCACAGCACTCTGCTTTTGAGATGTACAAGAGCCCTTGTACATTTCAAAAGCAGAAGTGCCCGCAGTTGGAACCGGCGCAACTGGGGACTGAGCAGTCCCTTCTCACACCATTTTCCCACTGTGCCTCTGTCTCCCCTGCACCTTGCGGAGACGGTGCTGAGGGGAACCGTCAGTTCCCCCCAGAACCAGCTCCTGCTTCCCTCCCCCTTGCTGCCTCACTCTGATAGAGGCAACAAGGGTGGGAAATGACTAGTTGGGTTGCTACTTGACTATCCGATAAGTATTTGCTTATCAGATAATTGACTAGTCACTTACATCCCTACTGTGCCCCAGTCCAATATTCCATCCCATGGATCTATCCTCCTTCACTTCTTTTCTCTTTCTGGTTCCAAGTATATTGTGCTCTATTTTATGTGGCTGACATGTTGATGAGTACATTATAGGTTTGTCATCTTAGGTTTTCTAATGGCAAATGCTGATGAAGAAGCCTGTTGCATACCATTTCTGCCATTACTTATTCAATAATACTGATAGACAATCATAACTAAAGTATTGATAAGAGTACAATATTTGAGTTAATGTCGTTGTTTGCTTAGGAATGCTCTAAAAACAATAATGAAATAATCAACAGAAGCAAAGCCAAGAGAAGGTAGAACAACGGTATGAAAATGTAGAATCAACTACAGTTTCCCTTATCATGATTTATTTCCAAATTTTCCACATCAAATACAGTACTCTTTAAAGTTTGTTTCACCAGCCTTCTTAATCTAAATAAAAGGGAAAGATTTTATTCATGAGAATATGGAGCAGCCACAAGAACTTCAAAACTTTCATCCATGCAGACCCAAGATTTCACATGTTATTGGAGCATTAGAAATGAGGTACAAGGTTTGGGAGGAGGACCTAGTTTAAAATAGCTAGACCTATGCTTTGAGACCTCCTAGATTAAGGATGTCTGGTAATACATATTCATATTTCATTAGGAAGGTAGCTAGGAAGATTTCCACTTAAAATTATCTACCTACATCTCTATTCCAGGTTCATCTGATAGTGAACATGATAGTCACTGGCATTATATAAGAATGCAAGATATTGAATTGCTTGGCCTTTTATCCTTTGAAATGAGAATATTTTCATTTATCAGTGTAAACTCTTGCTTGGTTTGTATGTAGCATGTAACAATAAATTTTATTTAAAATTATGTTAATAACAATACTACTTCTACTAATAAAAATAATATGCTATTTCAGTTCTAGAATAAGGTGTTTCAGAATTTGTGCAATCGTTTTAGGGACTGAATTTTTGAATTTGTATTTTGTAGAGATTTAAGTAACAACAGAATCAGCACTCTTTCTAACCAGAGCTTCAGCAACATGACTCAACTGCTCACTTTGTAAGTTTAACTGTATAACAATGAGTGTATGAATCCATAACAATGTTTATTGTCTTGAAAAGAAAAGGCAACCCATTAATATTAAAACTTGCTTGATTTGGAGGCTGTAAGATAATTGTTTCTGAACTGGTGATGAAAGCAAAAATGTACATTTGATATGCTCTTCATTGTATGTATGTGTTTGTTTGTTTGTTTATTTATTTATTTGTCTTATTTTATATGCTTTTAGAATTCTTAGCTACAACCGTCTGAGGTGTATACCTGCACGGACATTTGATGGGCTGAAGTCACTTAGATTATTGTAAGTAGTTATTTTATGTTGAAAGAAAAATATTTTATGTAATAACAAACTTGGAAACCCATATGTCATTAATAAATCTTCAACCCCCAATGAGTACTTGAACAAAAAAAAATTACAAAGAATCACAAAATATTACTTGGCTGCTTTTTATTATTCAATTAAAATGTGGATCAGGGAGTATAAATAGGTGCATACAAAGAGTGTTCATTGCACCATTTTCTGTTCTATCTCTTGTGTCTTTTTTCTCTTACGTCATGTTCTTTCTTGAAAGATTCACTGGTGTATATCTTAAAATGTCCTAGTCTAGGTATTTTATTTTTGCCATTAGATTTTAAATGCATTTTAGTATTCTCTTAATAAATTGCTTACTTTCTTTCACTTAATTTTGAGTAATTTTCCAACACAAAATTTGATGAACAAAATATTCTATACTTTAATCCAGTTTATTTTAACAGACAGACTTCTATTTTAGTTTTATTTGTGTGTTGCTTTAAGTTATTTAAGTGTTTGGTGCACAATGCACCACTTCTGTCTATAGACTACTTCAAGTGTTTGCTGTTCAGTATCAGAGCTATAAGATTGGTCACCTGATATCTGGAAGGAAGCATAAATCTAATTAGGAACTAGGTTTTTTAGGGCTGGTTCTGAAGGTGGCAAAACTTGTGGATGGGTCCATATCAATAGGCTCCAATGTAGTGGGCCAGAGAGTCCTGCACAAGCTCATTCCTCATGTGAACAAGCTAAGCTGAGCCTATTTGTTGACTCAAAGTACAACTGACAAGATTTAGGATGTTGATCTTTTCAGCCATTCCAGTGGTGCAGAACAACCAACAATCCAGTTTTACCATCTGTTAATCAATTTGCCTCATTGAGTTTCCTGCTTGCACAGAGCCACTGAAGGTATTTCAGACCCAATCCACATCCTGATTTATAGTTGGATCAGGGCCTTTGGAGGTATACTTCTTTAATTGCCAGCCATGCATGTCACCAGGTACTGCTTAGTTTCTGGAGCTGCATGCCTCTATCAGATTTGAGGGAATGGCATTGGGATAGAGAATATTTCAAGCCATAAGTTCATTTTCCTTGCTTTTCCTGCCCTCACCTAGGGCTCCTCAGAACTTCATTCTTAGATGCTCCTACTACTCATTAGGAATTTCTTCCAAGACCCTTCTCCTCCCCTTCCATTACGACCACCTTCCCAATTGCTGATGCCCCATACCTGACAATTTCATACTGCCTGCTAAGCGCTGTTTCCATTATTACCCTACAGTTATCCTGACCCTACACTCTCTGTGCCTCAGCTCCATGTCCCTCCCCTTACTTTCTTTCAGCTAATATATCCCCGACTCTGTTCTCTCCCCTAAGCAAAATGTCCCTGCTCTTCTCCTAGTAGATTTGCGCTCTTCTCTAGTTTATGCCCCAAACTAGTGTTTCTCTCTCCCCCAGTTTAGCTATCTTGTCCCTATCTTACTTTCCTCCTGAAAAAAATCTCTCTGCACACCCATCCTTATAGCAACCCTGGACATCATTGCTCCACTCAGCCAAGTTAAACATGTTTTGTCTTGCCTGTGTGAACTGAAAAAGACACACCGTGAATGACAAGGGCTAGTGAGGATGGAGACACATATAATGGGGATTTCTAGTCATATACCAGCTACTTTGTAAAATCTATAAACAGGATAACTTGTCAAAGCTCTCAGTGGTAAAAGGAGGTAGGCACCTGCCACCCAAGCTATCACCAGTTGTACCCCTTTGATATTCAAACCTGGAGCATGTTCTAATTGCAGAACCACTCACTCTAGTCCAAAGCCCTAATAGAGCATCTGTTGTATTATTCGATAATCTACCGCAACTGAGAGCAACTTCTGTGCTTTGTAAAAGTGGTGTAAGCTTCCTGCTAGTGTCAACACCTGCTTCCTAGCAGGTGATTAATTCTCAAAGAAGGCAACTCAGGTAATAGATTGGAGGTACAGAAAAGGTGATGAAATTCTTCCAAGCACTGTACACAAAATGAGATCTACCCACATGACTCACCAAAATGAGACAATTTCCCACAGTATATTGTTCAAATTATTTGAGAAGCCAGTTTGGCTTCTCCTATATGGGAGTTCAGTATTCTTAAGGGATCTGCGAAGTTCTAAATGCAACCCACTTACGGCACCAAAATGAGAGGCCACTCATAGTAAAGTGAGCAATTCTGTGGTTCCCCCTCTTCTTTCTTACCCAATGAATGAAACATTTTAAAAGTCCTAATTAATATCACTAGATTCTGAGTTATTATTACCAGATCTGACTGGGGCAGTTCACACACCTCAGCTATTATTTCACTATCTCATATTTGTACCATATTACTCACATTTGAGGGGTTTTTTTTTCCCAACCACCACAGCTAGAGTTTTGCTGTTTGTTTGTTTTTTAAATGAGAGTCTGGAGGACAAGGTAGTAGCTTCAGAGATGTGCCTTTACAGCATACAAACACCAGCAGTTTCCAAATCCTGGTTCAACCCCTTCAGCTAATCACTACCCTTTGCACTTCAAATAACTACTCCACCAAAGGGAGTTCCTTGTTATCAGGACCTGACCTCCACCAAGTTGTGATCCTGTCAAGATGGCAATATTGAAGAAGAATAAGGAACTCCAGACTGATTCAGAAAATAGTATTATACAAACCAACCACATAACTTCATAAGGACCCATGCAAGAACCCTGTTCAATTGTCCAAGTCTCTGAGTATCCATCACAATCATTCTAAATCCTTGCATTACGCAAATGCTTCAGGCTATCTGACTCACATAAAAAGCTGCTGCCTCAGTAATTATGAACCCCAAAACACAGCATATGAACTGCAGCTCTGTTACTATCCTCCACCAGTAAAGGCAAAGAGAATGGAGAAGGGATGGTAGGATATTGATTTTTGCAGTGGAACCAGCAGTGTGTAGTATGAGGTATTCTTTTTGTTGAGGCCACAATTCCAATAAGCCAGTTCAGGCACTTGCACATGTCAATGGGAGCCTCTCTGCAAAAAGTGGTGCTCAGCTGATTGGTGTTGCCTGGAACCATACCCTGCCTTCCCAGGGTAGAATTTCAGGCAGATAGGGAGGGCAGCAGCCGTGAGCTCCAGGACGTGGCTTGCTTTCCATCCCTTCCCTAGGAGGCTAAGGAAGTGAGGGGAAAGTACTTGCATTCCGTGGGTGAGATTATGCCAATGAAACACGAGATATTTAAATCCCCTCTTCATTAGCAATTTCGGTCGGCTACATTTGCATCCCTAGTCCCAACTAGGGAGCAAGTGTAGATGTACCCTTAGTGTCCAGGGCATGGGATGAAAAGCTAGCCGCGTCCTGGTACGCATAGCTTCTGTGTCTCTTCTGCCCTTTCCCCCGCCCCTCCCCACACACCTGTCCAAAATTCCACCCTTACTGCCTTCCTGACCTGAGGGCAAGTGTACATGATTGCCATATTAAAGAACCATGCTTCCTCCTGCACAGTGGAATCACAATTCCCTACTGTCGTTATAATTAGAACAGGTCAGATATGAAGTGTGATCCAGGTCTTATGATACTAGTCCTGAAGCCAAGGTTCAATTCTCATCTGCATCACAGACTTCCTGTATGATCTTTAGCAAGTTGTTTAACTTTGGTGTGTCTCTGTTCCCTATCTGGAAAATGGAGATAATAGTACCTCACTGCTTGTGAGAATAGTACCTCCCTGCTTGTGAGAATAGATACATTAAATATGCAGATGCTGTGATCACATGGGCCACATTAATTACCTTAGAAATACTTTTTTGTATAAAAATGACTTCTTAATTTTTTTTCAGGAAAAGAATTTTATTTGAAATCTGTTGGTTTTCCAACAATCTGAAAATCAAAATTTCCAATTTCAGTTTATTGAAAAATGTCCAGTTATCCCACTGGGAAAAGATGAACAGAGGTTTTGGGGTTTTTTTCTACTTTACTGTTCATTGAAAAAAGATTCCTGCATGAATTGCCCTTTTTAAAAAAGCCCTAGTTATATGTTGTTTGTTGGGGGGGTAGGAGTGTTTCTATCCACACAGGCAAGTTAGCATGTTATAACGCAGTGAACCAGATGTTTCAAATCGCGGTTACTGTGTATTGTATATACAGGGCATTAGTTAGCACCTGGATTTTGTTTTTATATCATGTTTTTAAAAACACCTATACAACTTTATTCGTAAACCTGATATATGTAGAATAGATGTATGTGTGAATGAAAGCTTGCGTAGAGAGGGAGGGAACTCTGCTGAATAGGTCTGCCCAGTATGACTGACTCAGCCTTGTGTACTTCATCAATAAATAATTTTATTTTGTGATTATATTATCAGTTACAGACACACAATTGATTTTCATGAACCTTTGTTGCATATGTGTTTATCAGTGTATTCAAAAAGCAATAAAGAGCACAAACACAATCCGTGCTATTCTAGTTGAGCTGCTGTAAAGTTAAATAATTACTTTCTCTGTTTTTCCTGTTTTGAACTCACTGAGTACTACTGTGTTAATAGTTGATCTGCATCTCTCTTAAGCAAGTTTTATTTTTAATTAAAAATAAAATGTTAAGTCCAAATTTGGAACAAAAACCTGATAGGCAAAGAGATGGTCTTGGGAAGGCTGCAAATCCACAGGAAGTGAAATTGAATGTGAAACTGAACCAAGTTTTTAAAATCACAAGCCTGCAAAGTTAAACTGCTGAGTTCTATACATATATAGTTTTTTTAATTTACCTATTTTGGTCATTTTCCCCCCTTAGGTCATTACATGGCAATGATATTTCTGTTGTTCCCGAAGGAGCTTTTAATGACCTTTCAGCATTATCACATCTGTGAGTATTCAATCATATATTATTTTATGTACATGTATATTGATCTCCTGCTTGGATCAACATTTCATGGAAGACTTTTTTTTCCTTGAATAACATCTTGCTATTTTGCTCAGTTTTCTGTGAGCTACAAAGAGCAAAGGTGAATTGGAACCATTAAATGTGCCCATTGATGTTTAGATGAAGATATTGAATCTGATCCTTGCAAGAGGGGAGAGGATTTATTACTGTGTCCCTGAGTTTGACATTGTTAAACAGGTGCAGTTTTTAAGTGTCTTTATCTGTATTCATCTGTTTTGTTGTAAGCAACTAATGGTCCAACTTTGTGTCAGATGTATTTAGCATTTGGGAATGTCACAGAAAACTGAAGGAGTACTGATTAAGTTTGATGTCATCCTTATTTACAATATATTCAAATGTGCTATCAGGATGACATGTGCATGAAGACAGATTAAATCAGTATGAGGAATTTGAAAGGGACAAATAGAGAGATGGAGGTTATGAAAAAAGAGTGAAATGAATTTATTTTATACAGTCAAAGTAAAATGACAAAGTGGTTTTAACCCTCTGAGTTTTTGTCTTTCCCTTCCCTGATTCCAAGATGGCAGCCATAAGCATCTTTGGTTATGCTCTTCAGAAGATTTTAAAAACATGTATGATCATATAAGTTTGACTTTCTCCTTATTCCCCTCCTCCAAAAAAAAAAAAAAAAAAAAAAAAGTTGTTTGCCTTTTGTACTGGCAGTTAGACTTTTGAGTGGACTATTTTCCTCATCACAGCTCTACCTGGTGACATTTTTGTGCCATCTTGTGGTGACATAGCATTGTCTCACCATGTCAGCTGACAGAGCCTACTGCTTTTTTGGAGCAGTGACTATGCATTATGCATTCCAGCTATCGCCTCCCCCCTGCCCCACACACACACACTCTCTCTCCCCCCACACACACTTCTAGAAAGGATAAAGTTCTATCATGGTCTTCCTCCTCATCTCTTCTTAAGAAAGGATATTTTACTCCCTCAGTCTGAAGCTGGAACATCACTCTTCTCTTGGGAGCATATTCCTTCTCTCAGAGAAACATTTCCTCTTTTTCTCTGGAGCAAGAATAGGGAGGGGGGAATATCTCTCATATGAGTAACATGGCAATAAGGAGATAAAAAGCATCTATAAAATTGGGTCTATTTTTTTATTGCTCCTCATTCAGCTTGACTGAATAAGTGGGTTCTGCAGAGTAAATCATAGAAGTGCTTCCTGTTAAGTCTGGCAGAATGTGGAGCATTTCTGCAATCTTCACTCTGTTCAGGGCATTTGAGCAATGCTCTGATCATTTCTCCTGGGATCATTTTTCTTTCTCAGAAGGCCCAGTGGTGTGGAACAGTCTCAAAGGCAGTGGAATACTAAAGTCATTTCCGGGACTGCCTATTGAAAAGGTGGACACATTCCAGACTTATTTCTTTATGCCACCAATATAACTTCATTTCAGCACAATAGGAACTATGGGTTCACTAATTTTATAAGTGACACACTGAATGTATTCTCTACATTAGCCGCAAAACATTTTGCTCCCACCTACGCAAGTTGTAAGAACACTTGTGCTGTCTAGCACGGAAACTTTGACTGTTACAGAAGGCACTTTACAAATTAAGTAATTCAGAAAATCTTTTAAAATGTTTTAAACAACAAAATTGCTCAAATTATTAAAAATAAATTTTTAACTGTTACATCCAACTGAATTCAAGATAAACAGGCTTTCCATAGAGCCCACTCAGGGGAGAATGATCCAGTGGAACTTGCTAAAAATGTTGTATTACTTCAGATTGTTAGTGGCAGAGACCTGTCCCTCCCTAGCTGCATATCTTTTGGGCCTGCCTTTACTGATGCCTTCAGTGCTGAGCTTGCTTGGAGAATCTCCTTACATAATCATGTTGAGGAGATCAGCAACCATAGCTTTATATTCTTTGGCAGAGCTCCAAAGAGGAAATAATTAATCAGAGTTTTGTGGGGAGAAAGGTAAAAGCAAATGATTTATTCAGGGCATACAGCAAAGGACTGGAATTGAGAAGTATATTTTAAAAAATAGTTTTCCCCAGTTTTTGCAGGCTAGGCTTAGGCCCCAGTTGACGATCCACAGGAGTACAATGGTCTTACTTCATCCTTAGGCTAACTTAACTTCCCACTACAAAATTTCTTCTGCAGATGCTCTTTGTTAAACTCAAATAAATTGGCCATTTAAGCATAAAGGGTGATACTGAGCTCATTAGTATCAATTCTCCAAAGTCCATACTGATATAACTAGGAACAATGGCTAGCATTCTGGCAAAGTTTGCTGCTGAGTCCTAATTTGAAAGCCAAGATCCAGGTAATCCATGTACTGCATTTAGGTTCTAGGAATTTTCTGCTGATAATAGATTTGGTTTTGTTATGTAAAACAAATACACAAAACTCTCATCTTTTTCCTCCCAGAGCTATTGGAGCTAATCCTCTGTACTGTGATTGTAACATGCAATGGTTGTCTGACTGGGTAAAGTCAGAATACAAAGAACCTGGTATTGCACGTTGTGCTGGACCTGGAGAAATGGCAGATAAACTACTTCTCACAACTCCATCTAAAAAATTTACTTGCCAAGGTACTGTTTTGTATTTCTTCTGATGTGACTACAGATTTTGAAATTGTACACCTGAATAGTTAAGTTGTGAAATGATAGAATAATCCTATACTCTCTAAAGTTATTCATCATAACATCTTCACGGTTGGGTCCTTTGCCATGGGCAGATCCAAAGTGGATACTTCTCAAATTCAAAGTTATAAAGCCATTGGTTTCAGCAAAGAGCATATCGACCTATGTAGTTCCTTTCTGACAAAAGTTGTAGCAGCTGCTTCTGTGGTTCACAGTGAACTATTATCCCAAATTGCATTGCTGCCTGTCCCAAACTGACACTATTATAACAATTATCTTATTCTTCAAATAATATAGTTTCACTAACTTCTGGTACCTCATTCTCAGTATTTCCAGCAAAACTTGGAAACATTTTCATAATTATTAGGTAAGTGAGCCTTGCAGTTTTTGCTGCATCCTAGGAAATGGATTGGATTATAACTAATATTGTGTCTCCAGCACTAGATGCTTCAAAGGGAGTACAAGAAGCATGAGATAATTGCTCTCCATGATGGTCTCATCCTATTTCCCAATAGGTGAGAGTGAAGCAGTCATTTTAAGTTTTATCTTTTTGCCAGTACTCTTTTTGTTCACATAAGCTTTTATTATTCTGGATGTTGTTATCAGTCACTTTTATGAATCTGATGCTGCTATTCAGTCTCTTTTAAGAATCTGAATAAGTTTGTGGCCTCAAAGGGTCTGGGATATCCTAACGCTTGGCTCTTGTGTGAAACAGGACTTCTGTTATTTTACATATTATTTTTTCCCCACTCCATTTTTCTTCTTGGTTTTTCTTAAACTTCTTAAATGTATAGAGTACTTTTGCTACACTTCGTCTTTAGATTGTTAAATACTTTAAAGTATGGATAAAAAGATCCATAAATACGGTGGTATAGTGGTACTGCTTAAATTGATAACTCCTCCTGAAATGCTTGATAAATGTAAGCTCAGCTTTTCCATACAAGATTATTGTGGCAGTGATTTAAGTTTATAGACAGAGCGAATTTGAAACTCTATTGATTTTTTTTTTCATCTCTTAGCAAAGGCTTCAAAGACATGGTGGGCCTATAGATGCATCCTATGCTCTTTCCTAAAATAGTTATAGAATTCTACCCTAGTTGATCTCATCAGAACATTTTTTTTCCTTTTTCAGCATTCTCATCTCAATGAGGCTCCTCTCCACAAGCTTGATGGTGGGAGTCCACCATGCTTTTAGTAAATTAAAGCCTTAGAGTGTCCAAGTTATTTGTTTTGAATTTTACGCTAATTCATTAGGCTTTGCTGTCCCCAAGAGAACTATTGTTATAACCTAACACGACTATTACTCTGAGACCATGTCAAGGCCAGTTCCTTTCAAACAAATCTGCCGCCACGATCATCCAGTCTAACTTGGAGATTTGCAGCCACTCGCTGCAGTGAGTTGAAAGCCCTGTAACACATTAATAGAATCGTACAATAACAGAACCAGAAGGGACCTCGAGAGGTCATCAAGTCCTCTCCCCTGCACTCATGTCAGGACTTAGCACCACCTAAACCATCCCCCTGACAGATGTTTGTCAAATCTGTTCTTAAAAATCCAATGACTGAGATTTCACAACCTCCCTAGGCAATTTATTCCAGTGTTTAACTACCCTGACAGGAAGTTTTTCCTAAAGTCCAATGTAAATGTCTGTTACTGCAAGTTAAGCCCATTGCTTTTCATCCTATCATCAGAGGTTAAGAGGAATTATTTTCCCCCTCCTTCTTGGAACAACCTTTTAGATAATTGAAAGCAGGTATCACGATCTCTCTTTAGTCTTCTCTTTTCCAGATTAAACAAACCCAATTTTTTCAGTCTTCCCTCATAAGTCATGTTTTCTAAGCCTTTAATCATTTTGTTACTCTTCTCTGGACCTTCCCCAGGGTGTTCTTGAAATGTAGTGCACAGAACTTGATACAGTACTCCATTGGAGGTCTTATCAGTGCAGGATAAAGTGGAAGAATTACTGTTCGTGTCTTGCTTACAACACTCCTGTTAATACATCCCAGAATGATGTTTGCTGCTTTTTTTTCACAACAGTATCATATTGTTGACTCCGTCGTATTACTTTATGGTCCACCATGACCCCTAGATCTTTCCACAGTGCTCCTTCCCAGGTAGTCCTTTCCCATTTTGTCTTTACTATTCAGGTTCCCTCCCTCCCCCATGCATATGTCAGTAATTTCTCCCTCTGCACAGAATGCATTTGGCAGCAGGGACACTGGGAGGAATATTGGTTCTCTAGTGGATGCCTGTGCTGGAACCAAGAATTTGGAACTTTGGTGGTTTCTGCTTTGGTCACATGTAGGTGCACAGACCTAAGAATGGTAGTTTCTTATAATATATGTAGTCAGAGAACAAAAATTGCAGGGAACTCCTTTTTATCGATGTTTGGGTTGCTATTGAAAGCAAAATGTAGTGATGATGTTGGCTTGTGTAACAGGTAGCTACTATCCAATAGAAAACAGCTTTTCCAGTGAAAATCCCTTCTGAGTGGTACAAGATTCACATAAATGACTCATTGAAAGATGGTGAATTAGTTTTGGAAGTTATAGGGACCACTCCTGCTTTACTTTTTTCCTTAGACTTTTTTCCCCTAGGATTTTTTGTATACATACTTCTAACAGACTCTCAATCTTTTGCTTTTGGCCTTTCACAATCCATGCCCTGCTTCTAGAGATTCCAGGGCCTTGTGGTTTTCTCATACCAGGTAAGGTTGTAAATAGCCTTTGAATGAGTTATCTGGTTAAGACTAGACCTTCTGACCTTCCCTATATGTACCTCAATCGGATTTCTTTCCTAAAACATGCATGTTTAATGTTTGCATCCCTCCTTTTCCTTGGATAAGTTTGTGGGTGATTATTTATTATATGTTATACAATATCACTATATAAATAATCTTGATATCGTAAATAGCGTGGATTCAGGATTGAAAATTAACTACCTTATAGAAATTATGGTTACCACTGCAGTGTGATTGCATTGTTCTGTAGTTAGGAACCTTAGGAACAACTTTTGTTCAATTGTAACTCAATGTGGACATTTATAAAATTAGGTCATATGTTGGTGATAAAAGATTACTTAGGGCCAAGTCACATCAGGGCTAAAGAGTTTCTCTTCCAACACATTCTTTGTGAGATAATTTTGGTTTTGTTTATATTATTTTTCTTTTAAAAAGTGTAATATAAACAATGCATCTTATACCTCATACAACAGCCCCTCGGTATTTAACAGATTTATTTGATGAGCAAAGCATATGTGCATGTGATGGGACTTTTATATAATGTACAGCAGAGGTGGGGAAACTTAGGCCCAGAGGCTGGATGCAGCCCCCAGTTTGCCTGGATCTGGCCCTTGAGGCTCATGGCCCTCCCCCCAGCATTGGGGAGCTTGCACTGGCACTCCAGCCTCCCCGCTACCCTATCACAGGGCTGGAGCACACAAAATCTACTAGGCAAGGGCCCCCTAGACACTGGTGTGTGAGGGGAATGTGAGGAATATATTTCTCCTTATCAGTCGGGGGCCACATCAGTGAGGTTTTGGGGGCCCCAACTGATTTTTCTATGGATTAGTGGCCCCCAGCCCAAAAAAGGTTCCCTACTCCTGATGTACAGTTTTGAGCAGTCTCCCGTGGGTCTCATTCTTCTTCACATGAAGCCTTCTTTATTTACACTTCCAGAGAAACAAGAAGGGCCATAGTGCAAATGAAAATCTGGTCCTAGAACCTTTCACTGCTTTTATGCTTTGCAAAGTAAAGGACTATTTAAAGCATGTCAGCTAGGTAACATAGTATAGAAATATATATCCTTTCCTTCTCTATAGGTCTAGCCTAAGACATTCACATTATTTATCTTAACCTTTGTTTTATTTCCATTTATATGTACACACCCAAGGACTTTAAAGTGTTAGCCTATATTTATTTACATTAAAGATTAATGTGACCACAAATTATTTAAAAAATATTTTTGAGCAAGAGTTGAGTTAAAAGTATCTTAATTTTTCCCGTCTTTTTTGTAACCCTATAACTTTCAAAATGGGTGAATCAATTTTTTAAATTTGAAATAAGCATTTATAATGCAAAATCAGGTAAAACTTCAGTTGCCATCACATTGGGACTTGAACTTTTATGTACCCAAGTCACTTTTGAAATTGTAATTTAGGGCTTGTATACATGTTGGTATAATGCATTCTCTGGGAGTGTTATTTGTAAAACACACTAAAATGAAGGCGGGCGGGAGATTATACAAGAAAAGTCTAGGGTTTAATTCTGCCCCCTCTGAGGCTATGTCTACACTACAGAATGTTTGCATAAAAACGGCCGCTTTTGAACAATAACTCACGCAGCGTCCACACCTCAAGCACTTTTTTGTGCAAGTAAAACGAAAGAACAGATGGATTTTTCTGGTGTAGGTATTCCTCCTTCTGCGAGGAATAACTCCTTTTTCACAAGAGTTCTTGTGCAAAAAGGTACATGTGCATGGGTAACGGTATTTTTGTGCTAAAACAGGAAAGAGGAAAAAGCACAGGTGGTCATTCTGTGGATAGCTATCAGCACTTTCTTTCAAGAGATTGTGCATGTAGTGTGGACACTCTCTTCCACGAAAGCACACCACTTTTTCGATGCGCTTTTGCAGTGTGGATGCTCTCTTGCGCAAGGAGCCTATAGTGTAGATATAGCCTGAATGAGCAGAAATAGGAACAGGCCCTCTGGATATGGCCTTAAAGGTGACAACTGGTTTTTATTCTATTTGTAATAGGACTTCTGTAAAGCAGATGATGTTTAATTTTTTCTCACATAGTGTTTATATCATTTAAGCTGAATTCACATTATACAATGAAAATTAGAATGTTGGATTCTGTCTAATTAGGGTAGAGTAAACTGACTTACATTAACCATGAGTTGGTAGAAATTTCACCCAAAGCTCAAAACAGTTCTTTATATGTAAAATACGTATATCTTCCTTTTCTCACACACTGTGACACTTAGTGACCTTAGTTGCTGTGTTGGTATTCCTGATACAAAACTACAGATTACCAGAAATCTCCCAAAACAGCCTCTTCACTCAGGATTTCCACTTAGATTTTTAGACCAAAGAACTTAAGAGGAAAATCAATGCTATAGATATGATTATTTTTTAATAGAAAGATAACCAAATAAAGATTTTGTTACATAAGCAGGAAAGGCAAGTGTCAGCTATGTGGGATATTCAGAAAAGACGAGGAAATAAAGATAAAGGATTACGAGACAGTGTTATAATTGCTGATTTCATTTTTTCAGTACATCACTTGCTCCATTTTTGCTTGATTTAACCATTGAGTCTTTTTGACATTCAGTCAGGCAGGACTTTTCAGATGATAATTTTATGGCATTTGTTTCAACTTTCATAGCTCTGTTGTTTGTCTCTTTAACAGGAACTTAAATTAGTTTTAGAGCTCTTGTTTGAAATAAGGCAATGACCCAAGAATGGTCAGTGATCCATATACAGTTTGTGTGATTGGTCAAAAATACCACTTCCTTACTATAGCTTAGTGCTTTTTATTTCTTTACATTGTCTTACAAGGTTTGACACAGAGTCATACCAACAACAACAGTTTTGAAAGTGAACTGATATCAGCTTCTGCTTGTGCTAGAATCATCTTTGAGGACCTAGCTTTTTGGTTCCTTTGCCCCCATGAATGCCATCTTCATTATAACAGAATCTCCCCATTTAACTCCCAGATAAAATGTTTGACTATCACACAGGTTGACAAGAAAAGCATGAAATATAATTTGTAATTTATTTACTATTTGGTTAAAACAGCATTCTAGTGAACTACTTTAAATGATAAAATTCTCCAGTCATTTTGAATTATCTCTGATTTTCTGGCAAGGATATAATTTTAATATTAGATCTTTTTTTTTTCATATGAAAAGTCTATGTCTGTTTTAGGTGATTTTATGCCCACCACATTTTCCTTTAATGTCGACCTACCCCAAGAGCACCCCAACAATGTGTGTTCAGCTCTGCATTCAAGAAACAGATCCTGTATTACAAGTCTTCTCTGTCACATGCCAGAAGGGCCAGCAGCAACAGACAGATTTAAACAATTCTCTTTGCCTGTCCCCAGCCACTCATCTTGCCTCAATAGTTATAATGTGCAGTCACAGCATTATTAAATAAAAGCAACTAATGCAGGATATTTATTAGGGATGTCAGTGTGTAGACGACTACATGATTAACCAAAAATCCTGGGTTTATCTGTTAGTCCTGTCGACTACACACATTCCCCACCTGTTTGCTGCCCCTGTATCAGATTTAAATCTATTAGAAGCAGCAGTGTTGGGGGGTAAGAGGGCTGCCACGAAGCAGCCTCTGTCTGCTGCAGCCCAAGCTCGCCACAGTCAGAGGCTGCTCTGCAGCAGCAGCCCTGTCTGCGGAGGGGTCCGAGCTCACTAGGGACTGGTTTTGAAAGTGGCTCCTCTCGCAGAACAGCTCCCACCTGTCACCCCATGCTGATGCCTCTGAGTTAGAGGCAGCAGTGTGGGGTGGCAGGCATCTCCCTAGGAGTGGAACCAGGAGTGCACTGGCCTTCGTGGACTATTTAATAGTCATGTACATTTCATGCAGGTACATGACTATTCAATTACATGCTTTCTAACATCCCTACTGTTTCTTGCAAATAGAAACAAGTTGAAGACTAGCAAATTAAAGTTGTAGAATATAATATTGAGAAGGAGCGATCAGATGTAAACTTGACATTATTGCAAAGCACCATAGGTGTCTCAGGGAATTACAAAAATTGTTTTTGTCAGGGTGCTCCACCAAGCTCTAGCAAATCAGTTGAATATAACTGTGCCTCAGCTGAATCATAGACAGCTTCCTGCCCTATTGAGTTGTAACAGCCTAAATTTTCAACTTTACTCAGCTTATTTATGACTTTCAGAATAACACAAAATTCTTTTCAGCTTTAAATAATTTTTCCCTTTGTGTAGGACTACAAAGACAATAAAAATGCAAGCCTCTATTTTACAACCACAAAAATAACATACATGCACTGAACTAGCCTGCCCAGTTATAAAATTGCTTATTAAATACTCCTTTTTACAAACCTCTGCTTCCAAATAGCTATTTGCTGTTCAAGAGCACATGGTAATCTAACCTTGAGGTACACATAAAATAAAGCAGTAAACTAGGCTTTTAGGTCTGAACTGCTACATGTAAAATTAATATAGGAGTCTCAAAGGTTTTGCAGTTTAGTTTAATATCAAAATCTGGACCCTCCTTTGTCTCTGCATCCCCATGAAGTTCTCCTCGCCTCACTAGACTCTCTCATAGACTCTTCTTCACATACTATTGTTAACTCAAATAGCGAGGAGGGGGGGCCAACGGCTTTCTACACTTATCAGTGTTCTTAATAAATGACAGATCCAGTCACCCTTCTGTTTCTTTTGGTCCCATCTCCCACACAGGCCTATGAGGAAAAACCATAGATTTTATTGTCAACATTTTTTGATTATTTAAAAAAAAATGAAAAACAGTACAGAACTGCTTTCTGTAATGCCACGGGGGGCAAGTGTGAAAACTGTAACATTCCTGGTTTTCAGAGACAAATGACTGAGACTATGTTGTTCATTTCCATAAGATTTAAGTGGGAGGCAAGGATGGTAGATGCATATTACTTATATTTTGAGTTGGGGAAAGAGAGGGGTGAAATAGCTGAATTAATTTGGTTTTTTTTACCTTAGTGTTAGAAAAGAAGGTTGAAGGCCAAATGTGTTTTCAGTCTTGATTAAAAATAAAAAAATGAAAAGTAAGGCTACCCCTGTATATGGAATATGCAGAAATGCCGGGGTTAGTAGACACTAAGCAAACTGACACAAGTAAATCATCCAAAATAAACAAACAATGAGAAATGCTAGTTTCTGACTATCAAATTTGTATTTCATTTAAGGTCCTGTGGATGTTAATATACTTGCCAAATGTAGTCCCTGCTTATCGAATCCTTGTCAAAATGATGGCACTTGTAACAATGATCCTGTTGACTTCTACAGATGTACCTGCCCTTATGGTTTCAAGGTAAGTACTGGGGATAAGGAAAATACAACTTCATCATTCTCCCTAGTCATGAAAAAAAGTCTCTTTTGGCTCACTTCCACCAGTTTTCTTATTTTGTTGTTCTGTCTGCAGGGCCAGGACTGTGATATTCCAATTCATGCATGCATCAGTAACCCTTGCCAACATGGTGGAACTTGCCATTTAAAAGAAGGAGAAAAAGATGGATTCTGGTAGGTTTCTTTAATCAATAAAAACAAAAGTCAACCGAGATTGAACTACTCTTGTTAACTAAGGAAAGATAAACTCTTTTTGCTATTACTCCTTGAATCCTAGGAAGGAATGAGGAGAAGAGATGTTTGTTGATAAACACAAAACCACAGCAGTAGTCTTTTTAGGGCTTCTGAAGTATTAGGAAAATTTCTTCTTTCAGAAAACTCAAGTGCTTTAAAAGTGTTTTTTTAAATGATTAGTCAGGGCATATCATGGCAAGACAACATAGTATTGACTTTATTATGTTAATTAATAG